AAAGCCCTGGGTCACTGGGTGCTGCCAGGGAGAGGGCAATCCCTGCTGCCCCACACTGCATGGGGGGCTCTGTACAAGCCCCCCAATTCCCTCCTCCCCCCGCTCCCCACAGTCATAGGTGCCCCACCCAGGCCAACTCCAGCCCTTTAAGGAAAAAAAACCCCCGGACTCACCATTCCTGCTGGCTGGGGTGATCCCCACTGTCCTGCACCGTGGGGGGCTCTGCACAAGCCCCTGAAGCCCAGGGTCCACTGCAGGAGTGGAGAGAGCTGGGGCTTTTCTCAGCTTTTTTCTTCTTAAAGGGCCAGAGCTGGCCTGGGCAGGACACCTGTGGCAGGGCTGGGGGAGTGAGGAGGGGTTGGGGGGCTCGTGGCAGAGCCCCCCATGCAGCGTGGAGCAGTGGGGGACAGCAGGGATTACCCCCTGCCCAGCAGCACCCAGTTAACACCGGAGCTTTTCTTTAAAGTACCAAGCTGAGGCGGGGGGCCAGATGGGGGTCTGCTCTCCAAATCTTTTCTGAAGATTCAGAGAGCTTTGAATTGATTCAGACCTTTAAATTGGTCCCCTGATTTGATTCGGATTCAGAGATTCGGCCATCAAATTGGGCCAAATCTCCTCCGAATCAAATCACCACCTGAAGCGTTGCACAGCCCTACTGCGTAGTGCTTTTGAAAACACTGCCCAGAGCCTTCTAAACTTAAGTCACTTGTGCAAATGGAAGTTACTTTGTGGACTGACAAATAAATTGTACCCAGTTAAAAGCAGGGAGATTTGTTAGGTGTCAGATCCATAATAATGTTTGTGCGTCTCAGTCTGAGATGGACTGTGCTCTAGTGCCACTCCCATCTCTTTGTTTTCAGAGTTTAACTTAATACCAAAAAAAAGGCAGTAAGAGAGCTCTGCATTTCTCTCTCTTTTTTCCTAACCCCTGAGCCCTCTCCCCTCCTCTGGGGAAGGAGGGCTGGAAGAGCCCTGCCATCTCTTGATTGGTCCAAAGTAACCAGCTGTGTGGACTGTCACCCATTTAAGAGCAGTTGTTCATGATCCCTCCCACAGGCTGCATTTTTGTGCTCCTCTGAACTATTCCAGCTGCCACAATGGTTGTGGAGCTGTTCCTGGACCTGTTCTCCCAGCCCTGCCGGGCTGTCTTCATCTTTGCCAAGAAAAACAACATCCCATTTGAGCTGAAGCATGTGGACCTCCTGAAAGGTGAGTGAGGAGCTCACTGTGGTCTGGATACTGCAACCCCAGTAGCTTGTTACAGGACTTTGTCTGTTTTCCTCTTCTTTCCACCTGGGTCAGCTGAGGAGGTGGAAACAAATGTGAGGGGATTTCTTTTCCTTTGTCAGCTAAGGGAGACTTTTCCCTCCTGGAGTAACTACTGTGTGCTGGAGGCCTGGGTTTTGTGCAGACTGTCAGCAAGTGATCTTGCTTGCTGCAAACACAGACAGACATCAGTCCTGCATCTGTTGCAGTGACCATGGGAACATGATATAAAGGATAGCAAATAAGTTAAAGAAGCGTGGCCCTGCTATTATTTGCACTTCATATCCCTGGCAAAAGTTCTCAGACAGCCATCAAACTGGAAGGACTAGAATAACAGACTAGCTGCTGCTTAACTCCTGTGCTGAGTTCCCCAGTGGTACCTTCCCTATACAGGTAGAGTCTGATGGGGCCAGACGGCCCACTTTGTTCTCCACAGTGCTTTGGCCCTACTGTCACCTACACATTTCAACCCATTGCAGTTCAGAGAAGGTCCGTCTCTGAAGAATGACGGGGTCCAGATTCTGCTCCTTGGAAGAGTCCTTTATCTCAAGAGGCTGACTCCAACCTCTTGCCTACCTTCTTGGGAGGATGGTACTTGGGATAGGCAGGGAATTTGCTGTCTGCTCAGATATACTTCTAAGTTTTGTGAGACAAATGCCATCCATGCTGAGGTGGCTGTATGGGGGTGGCTTATTAAATCAGCAGTCTAAAGAGCAAGAAACTGCTATGGCTAGGTGACAGAGAAACTTCTAGTTCTACTAGCAGACTGGCTTGGCCCCACTTCTCTTTGGATTGTCTATCAAAAGGCTGATAACCTTAAATTGGATATCTGGCACAACCTACAAATTGAAGTGGGGCTTGAGCACTTTTCTGGCTCTTTCCTAACCTCCCTCCTAGGTAAGAGGAAAAAAATACTGGGCAGTAGTAAGAGAGACTGGATTGTGTTTAAATATAGTTTAAATGGGGACTATGGATTCTTATCCCTTTACCTGGAATTAGCTTGTTTGTTTGCCTTTCCCAGCAAATCCTCCCCCTTTTCCTCTTCCCTCCCCCACTCTGCCTTTTGTATTCAAATGTATCTTTCCTTGTACGCTGCTTTGTACACATTCTTTCACAGCATCAGATGAAGTGAGCTTCAGCACACAAAAGCTTATGATTTTGGAGATTAACCAAAATAGATTTATATAAAGTGCAGATCTACCCTGCCTTCTGTAATAGGAGCCCAGGCCAGATACAGGAGTGGGTCCCACTCCTCTGACAGGCTTATACAGGTGTAACCAGGTGGAGCTCTGTAACCATTTCAGATGAGCACAATAAGGGATTAGAGGGCATGACATTAATTTGAGCTATGGGAGTTGTAGGGTGACTAGAGCTAGAGCACATTTATAAAAGGACTAGTTTCAATGGGAATTAGGCAACTAAAGACCTCAAAATCTGTCACTGTAAATCTTCTTCAGCATTGAATTCACCCAGGGAGTGAGTCTGTAGACTGAGGCCCCTTTATATAGCCACTCTTTGGAGAAGAACCATGATCTGAAACTAAATTGACAACTAAAATGGCTACCCAGGAAACGAGGCATGTGTGTAAGGAAAGACTGAAACACAAGACTCTTCTCTGTTTGCTGCTTATGTTTTAATATAATTTCCTGAGAGCTCTGCAGCCTTGCTCTGCTGAAATCTTGTTTAACACAATCTAGTCTGTGGCTATGTTCTTGTTCTGCAACTTCCCATTCAAATTGGTTCTTGAAGCACAGACTTGCTGTCTCTGAGGTTACACCAGGCTAACATTTCTGTCATATCAGTTCCACAAGCGCACACAAGACCAAGTCAGTGTCTATTCTTCCACATAATGCTTGTCCTGTTTGTTGGCCACTTGAGGGGCATTATGTAGTGTATCTGATGGGGGAGGAGCAGGTGAATGAGCCCTGGGTGTTTATCATTTGTGTTGCTTGGTCCAATGATGTGGTCTGCATTGCTCATCAAAAAGCAGACTGGTACAAATGAAAGCACTCTTCTGAATGATAGGCAAGTCCTGCTCATGACACTCAAATATCAGAAAACTAAAAGATTCTCAGAAGCTGTGGTATTACCTGGGAATCAGCTTTGAGACTGCTTTTACAGAAAGTTGAGCCATCCCACTCAGCTCTCTGAACTTCTCTGCTCCAGGCTTGCTGCAGGAACTTGAAAACAGAGAGCCCCATTCTGCAAACCCTTACACAAGAGATCACAGCAGGGACAATCAAGTGGGTGCACAGTCTGTATGGATTGTAAAACACTTGTTCTTGTGGGACTTCTTATGATCAGAGCTGGAAAGTCTTCGCAAAAGTCCCACAATTTCTGCTGATCTTGTCTTAATCAGATAAGCCTAGTTCTGATCTCTGTGCTAAGCCTAAACTTCCAATGAGTTAATCCCCTGTAAAATGGAAGCTTCCTTCCATAACATCAGCAATGCCTTACATTCCTTGTAAATCTTTTTAGGAGAGCACATGACTGAAGAGTTCGACAAGGTAAATGCTCTAAGGAAAGTGCCAGCATTGAGGGATGGAGACTTCACCTTAGCAGAGAGGTAAGGATTACACAGCTCTCTGCCATCACAGCAGTTGGCTTCTGCCTGCTCTTCTGTTGTCCCATGCCTAGAATCTGATCTCATTGCATCTCAAACTCATCTCTGTTTCTTCTCCCATTTTCTTTTTGTTTTCTCTTCCTTGTTTTTAGCCTCTTTCATCTTTCTCCTGTTCATTCCTACCTCTCTGTCTCTCCCCCTCGCTTTTATCCTTATACTGTGCTACACTCCAGCCATGCACACTCCATCTTTGAAGCCAGGAGGATGGGGTTAAAAACTGGCTCATCCCTACCTGCTAGCTGCATGGAGAGGAACATTACAGCTGGCCCAATGCTTGCAAAGCCACATGGAGCTGGAGAGTCCTTAGTGGCCCATGACTATGATGGCATGTGCAGGAAGGTTTGACTTGTGCAGGTCTAGTAACGCTATCTTTCTAATCACCAGGGGCTTTGGCTGTAGGTTCCATGCTAGGATAGAAAGGTGTAAGTTAAGTTGCAACTGCAGCTGGAAACCCAGCAAGTGTACCAGGTTTGGTTATATCTGGAGCGCTCTTCCTCTTTCCACTGAAATGAGCAGGTAGCTTGGGGGCTGTTAAGTCAGTAAGTAGAGGGCTGGGGAGAGGAGAAGCTACTTTCTCCTATTGACTCCATGCTTTTTTCAATGGGTGGTGCAGGAAGCAGAAAGGAGGGTGGCTTTTCTTCATTTGCCCTGCCACTGAGGAGAGAATTTGGCTCCAAGCAAAACACTTCTAAGCATACCTTTGACTTCCCTTGAACATTTCAGCACAAACTCTGACACCGATGATCTTAAGAGGGAGCCATTGGCTTTCCTGCAATGTTTCTGTGACAATTCTACATGATTCCATGCAGCATCTTTTGCTGTGAGACAGCGAGAGCACCCAGGCATGCAGCTGATAGGAGGTAAATGAAGTGTGGGGTTTTGGCAATAGAGAGCAGGACAGGCTGTCCAAGGGGAAAGGACAGATCTTTGGGTCTATCAGAACCAGGCCCAAGCTTGATTTCACATGACCTTTGGTTGTAGGACCAGGGCAAGGAGTCAGTCAGAAGGAAAGGACAATCTGTTTTCATTTTCTCTAAAATCGCGTCCCATGTTGTCTCTCTCTGTCTGGCAGCAATGCAATCCTTCTCTACCTGAGCCGAAAATTCAAGACCCCTGATCACTGGTACCCTTCTGACCTGCAGAAACGGGCCCGGGTTGATGAATATCTCTCCTGGCAGCATACTGGCATAAGGGCAGCAGGATGCAAGGTTTACCTGAGCAAGGTAAGGAAGTTAAATTCCAACAGAGTTGAATACTAGCTACTGCCCATAACATGATCCAAATTGACACTGTGCAGAGGAAAAACTGAGCCCTTCTCCCACAGGAGTGTGTAGCCACCTCACTTCAAATTATTCTGATGTGAAAAGGGGTCTATACTGCCAAGGTGATGGGAGTCTCTATACCTCATAAAACTACATTAAAAGAACACAGGTTGTAAAATGAAATGCCCAGAAATCAGACAGTGCAGAATTAAGATCAACCATGCAGCTTTGTGTGGGGGGATTTCCAGGGATGATATCTGAGGAGGTTGCATGCGTGCTGCACCTCGCTAACTAAACACACAGGCTTATAGTGGGAAATAGCCAGATCTCACATTGTTTTGGCTGTCTGTGTTCACCAGTGCTTTGCTTATCAAGCTAACGTGGCACTTCCTGAAAAGACTCCTTTTATGCTCCAGCACAGCGGGCAAAATACAGCCCATAGGCCAGATCCGGCCTGCCAAGGACTTTTGTCCAGTCCCAGAGGGACCCTTGGCCCCACTTGACTTAGGCACAGAACAGGCCTGGGATGTGGCACATGCAGCCAGTCCTACTGCCCCTGGGCGCACAGTTGGGCTGGGGTGGTGCAATGGGCAGACTCACTTCTTGGAAGCCCCTGCGGCAGTGGTTCCTTCTGGCTGCTGCTCCCAGACATGGCCCCACTGGCTAGCTCCCTGGCCCCACCACTGGGGATGCCAGATGGAGCGGGCAGCAGGGTCTCCAGGGAGACTGCCTGGGACCCCTGCAGGCAGGACATGTGGCTGAGCAGATGGGATGGGGCCACAGGCGGGCAGATAGCAGTATCTAGAAGTGGGACAGGCAAGCAGAGCTGGGGATTGAGGATGAGATTGCAGGGCCAGGGTAAAGCTGTGATCTGCTCCCTGCACATCCCTGCAATGCGTGCCGGTTCCACAGGCAGGGGCGTGCAGGCAGCAGATCACAGCTCTGCCCTGGGTCCTAGCCCTGCTCTGTCATCAACCAGTGATTCCAGCCCTACCCACCTGCCCCACTCCCTGCATACCCGCAGCCCCATCTCATCCTCCCATCTGCCTACAGGGCCACTTAGGGAGTTTTGGTGAGCTGTGGCAGAGGGGTGGGGGCAGAGTGCCTGACCTGGGATGGAAAGTGGGGGTGGGTAACTGACCCAGTCCATGACAGCTCAGTAATACTCCCTAAGTGGCCCCCCAGCCAAAATGATTGCCCACCCCTGCTCCAGCCTCAATTCTTCCTAGAGCTGAAATCTACATAGGCAGTGTCTCTATTGCACATAAACCAGAGCAACAAATGCAACAGGTCTAGCAAGAGCAAGGTAAAGATGAGGGATCAGAAACCATGTACTTCGTGCAGCTTTGTCTGACTATTGACACTGTTTGTGAAGATGACACCTTCTGCCTTGAGGCAAGGTGCTGATTTGCAAGTGCTACAAAGTGTGTCTTGGTTTGGTGTGTGTGTTTGTTTGTTTTTTGTTTTTTTTGTTTTTTTTTCCCCAAGCCAAATGTCTGCAAAGTCAGGAGAATCTGAACAAGGCTGTCTTGGCTGGGGGCAGAGGGGAGATATGATGGTACAGGTTAACACTGCACACCCTGGAAGAGGGGGTTTGCAGAACCAGCCCCCTTGCCAGTAAATTATTGAGGGATCCTTAAAATAGTTCAGGGTAACTCAGGAGGATTGTGGGTGGACAGTGGCCAAAGCAAGAAGCTGAATCTGTTTAAAGAACTGCATTTTTTCTTTCTGTGGTAGGTGCTGTTGCCTCTCCTTACAGGCAAGCCGTTTTGTCCTGAGAAAGTAGAAAGGGCTATTGAGGAGCTGAATGTTATCCTGAAGCAGTTTGAGGAGAAGTTTCTGGAAGACAAGCCTTTCATTGCAGGTAGCGAGATCTCCCTGGCTGACCTGGTAGCAGTTGTGGAGATTATGCAGGTGAGTGGTTCCAGCTGGGTTACTGAACCTGGCCAAGATGTTGCTCCAGTTTCCACAAAATCTCGAAGGGAAGTTTGCACTTCATTAATGGGAGTGCAGTGGGGTGGGAAAGCTGGGTTTTGACAACCCAAAACTAGTTAAAACATGGATGCTTTCTCTGCAGCCTACATTTTAATGTCACTTTCCTGATTTTAAAAGAGTTCTGAATAACATTTACAATCACTGTCACTGCTAAGGTGACAGGAAAAGACTGGTCAGAAATGGGAAGAGTACCTTTAATTCAGGCTGCCCAAAGATGGGAAATGTCCCTTCCTTAGACCTGAAGTTGCACAAAAGAGTGTGGTGAAAATATGTGCTAGTCTGTCTTCAAGTGCAAAACTTAGGCCTTTTTTCCCCATGTGTTTGCAATGTGAAGACCCATTCTTACTGCTTCTAAATTCATTCATGTAACTGAAGCATTATTATCTATCCTTGAGGAATAAGTACTTATTGCAGAGTTCTCCTTTTTGATTTGTGGTCTTAAATCTATCTTGGTTGGACCAAATGTGTTTTGACTAGTCGATCAGCTTTACAAAATATAGTCCTAATCACTGGAATTTGGGCTGTTTGGTTTTAGGTCTTGTTTATTTTTGATATCCAGATAAATGCCCCACTCCTCATGTTTGGACAATCCTGCACATTCTGGGTATCCTATAGAAATTGTCAGAGAGAAGCAAGGCTGGAAGGGTCCTCAAGAGATCATCTAGTCCAACTGGGAACTGAATGTGTGGTCTTGGTGTTATTGGTACCCTGCTCTAACCAACTGAGCCAAACAGCTGTTAAAATCCAAGCTCTGAAATGTTTTCAGTGGAAAACTCATTAGCATGAGTTTTTCCCTACAAATGTTAAGGTGACTGGGGATGTATGTAGTTATCTTCCTACACATTCTGCCAGTTAATTGCTGGTATTCCCAGAGGTTAGTTTCCCACTAAATTGAAATCTGGGATGTGATATCCTCCATTATTGCATATTTCTTCCAACCCCCAAAAGAGAAGATGTTGGCTCAGTTGGGCTTAGTTTTATCCTACTAACAAATGCTGCTTGGACTGTTCATACAGAAGCTGCTCTGCCATGTTTTCTTGCTCTGTGTGTGTGTCTCTCTCTCTCTCTCCAGCCTGTGGGAGCCGGGTATGAGATCTTTAAGCCCAGACCCAAGCTGGCGGAGTGGCAAGGCCGGGTGGAGGAAGCGATAGGGAAGGAGCTCTTCCAAGAAGCACACAAGCAGATCCTGAATGCCAAGAGTCTCGGTGTTGCTGAACTTGTCCCAGAGCTGAGGGAACAAATGGCATGCATGCTGCAGAAGCTAATTAACTAAAATGAGAATGTAACAAAATGCTAATCCTGTGTAAGACACTTTTGGAATGTCTAAGTCCTCTCCAACACCATTTCCTCTTGGCTATGTACACCCAGCAACACACACACATCTCCCTGTAACCCCAATTTAATCACTCCCTGCATACCCACTCTCTGGTGATATATAAGGGAAAGAATAAAAATCAATTTTAAAAAAGTATTGTTGTGAGGCACTGAGCCTCTTTTGTGAACAGAACAGTGAGCTGCAGTTCAGTGGCAGGCCCTGATTTGTCATTTCTGCATCTGCCTCAGGCCCCCAACCATTACCTATGTAGGAACACTCCGCTCCTTCCCCTAACACACACCTCACTTACTAGAGGCCTCTGTTGCAATGCCTGCTTTTTCTATTTGCATCTAGGAAGTCAGGTTGGGCAAGTGGGGCTAAAGAGTTGTCCAAAGAAGAAGTGTTCAACTTGTGTGAAGACAGAGATTGCAGGCACATCTATACCCAGAGCAGACTGCACCTTTGTAGTAGGTTACAATGAAAGAGGAAAGACCCCTTCAGCTGAATGGGTGAGAAGCACAAAGGCAGAGTGTGGGAGGTTTGCATAGAGATGTTTGTTTCCTTAGAACATCTTGCCACTAGAGGCTGCTGTATCCAACTCCATGAGCAAAGAGGGATATAGAGGGAATCAAGGATTAAAGCTTGGTCATGCAGACACTTGCAGGCACAAATCACTTTCCTGACGTGAGGGGTCTGTGTTTACAAAGGGGACATAATCAGCTGAGTAAAGATACTTGCTTGTCTACTGCCTCAGGGGAGACCAAAGCCAGTTCTGCCTGCTGAGCTGTCAGCTTCCTTGCTATTGTCCTGCAATAGCCTGTTGGCTTCTGCAGCATCACCTGCTCAGAAAGTGAGAAAATCTACCTTGAAAGGAATACTGCAGGACCTGGAAGTCCTGGTGGAGGGAGAAGTGCAGGCCAGCCTCAAGGGTGTAGGTTGTAGCTGTGTTGGTCTAAGGACATAGGCAGACAAGGTTCTTTGGGTGAATCCAATATCTTTTATTAGACCAACTCAAATAGTTGGAAAAATTCTTCTTAACAAGCTTTCAGGCACAAACACCCTTCAACAGGCTGAGGAAGCATCTGGAGCTGCGTGTTAGGTGAAGAGGGTAAGTAAATAAGGGTTAGGTGGTTACAGTATATTCCCCTTCCTCTGTCCATTTTCAAGCTTGCAATCAATTTAATGGAAAACATGTGAACAGGGTTTGTCCTGGGTGGCTACAACCCCTTGGTCTCCCCACTCACTGGCATGGAGTGCTAATGGTGGACCAGCAATATCTGAAGCTGGTACACCTTGCAAGGTAGCTGTTCAGCAGTAGATGTAATGTCTGAGCTGAGGCAATGCCACTACTATGCTGACTCCTGCAAATTTTTGGTATATGCACAGGTAACACAATGGGAACAGTAGAGTTGCAGCCTTGGCTTCTACTAGAAATGGGTAGCTTGCCCAGACTACAACTGATCTGCCTACTTCAGTAGCCACCTGCCCCTAGGCTCTGAGTCCCAACAATTTTGGGGGGCTTTGTTTTAATATGAAGCAATAAATACACAGAACTGTCACAGGCTAAATACCTGCATGACATGCTAGTCAACCCATCATCCTTCAGCAGTAGGAAAGGCCAGGACTCTAATGCAATTGCAAAAACTGCACAGATGGGGCCTGGCTGGAAGTCCTATGTAAGAGCACAACATTTGACATGCCCGCGCAGCCTGAAGTGGTTCAGTTCCCCTCCAGCTGCACTGCTGCTCTCCCCAGCAGTCAGGCACATGCAGCTGGATTCATCCTTCACAAAACTGTGTTGCAGTCATAGCACTACCAGCCAGCTAGAGCCTTCTCCTTTTGCCTCCTGTCTGCCCTGCCACGAACAGTGCAGGAATTCAGGCCTCATCTATGGCACTCTGCTTTTAGGGGAGCTTGAGGTTGCTGTTGTCTAACCTACATTTGCTTCAGGGGAAAGTACTGAAGAAACTCACAGGCTGGCCCATCCTGCGTGTATGTCTTTTTGGTCTCTTGCAATGCTTTCTTTTCCTGCCCCTTTGCCAGTCCTCATTTTTGGGAGAAAAAAGTGGGGGAGAAGCAAAGGAAATCAGGTTTTCAGAACTGATTTTTTTTCTCTTTTTAAAGCATCTATCTACCAGTATATCAGGGAGCCTGTTGGCACTGCTGTCTTGAGTTACAGATAGCTAAACTAATATGAGGAGCTTTGCCAATCCCACAGCAGCAGCTGTGGGCTGTAGATGCATTTGAGATGGCTTGTGTTAGACATCTCAAGGGGGACAGAGCAGCACAGGAAAATGAATGGGGAATCACAGACTGATGGGCCAGGACAATATCTGAAGTGAAAAAAGAGATATATTGTTCGTACTTTATAGTGCTACAGGTGCACTGTGCTCTTTCCAGACGAATTGCTGCTAGTCCAGGGCATGCAAATTGGATGGACATGTCTCACTGGGAAGAGGTGGAGTGTGCTGCTCTGCTTTGACTATGCACCCCCAGAGATTATAGGGTGTGTGCCAGCAGCAAAGATGGCTGCCAGGGGACTCTGTGTTCTGAGAGGTGCCACTGAAGCCTTCTCCCTGACCCTTTCCCCTGGAGAAACAGCAGGGCCAGAGCTCTCTCGACTGGCTACAAATAGAAGTGATGGTAAGGTCCTTGCATCAATCAGTGATTCAGCAGTGTTACTCAACAAGCTTGGTTCACCAACAGCCACTGGGAGCCAGACAGTCGCACAATACGCAAGACCTAGGGATCTAGAGTGCTTGGCTCTGGGAACTGGAGGTGCTTCACTTGGATACTGTAATTCAGAGGAGCAGGGAGTAAAGGCTGAGTAGCCCCCAATGTGGACAGCTGAGCAATGAGCATGTACTCACACTACATCAATACAAAGCTGGGGGGTAAGTGGAGTTAGAGCCCCTGGCTGTTCTCCTAATGCAGTGGCTAAATCCTATTTGTCCAGGATATTTTAGAGCACTGGTCTCCATGTAATGCAGGAGCTGATGCTGACTTCAAGTGAGTGTTTTGCTGTTCAAGAGTGGACTAGAGATTTTAGGATCAAGCCCACTGAAGTCAGTGGGAGATCTGAGTGAGTAAGGAGGTCTGTATTTAGCTCCAGCGCAGTTTTTCACAGGCAGGTTCTTTATTTGCAGCTTGGAGGAATTGATCATTTCAGGGATAGTAAATCTGGACCCACAACTTAGGCTTTCCATTTGAATGGAAAAAATCTGGTTTTGGAGTGTAAGTGCACCACCAAAAAGCCTTTCTCCTCTGTCCTCCAGTGCTGAAACGTTCATGAAAAGTCTGCTATGAATGGATTTTCACCTGGTTAGCTTGGCCCTTCCATTCAGGTGGATACACAGTCCTTATATAAGGTGGCTGGTTTTTTGCATTGAGCAGCTTTCTTGCTTAGATTTTCTTTTCTGTCGTCAGCTTGAGGAACCTCCAAATGTCCAAACACAGACTTTCTGTTCAGAAGGACCTAACAGCACCTTGGTGCTTGAAAGCCAGAAAGTAAAATGAACCAGTTTCCTGTGCCTACAAGCTGAGTGAAATCCAAAGCCACCAACAAGTAGGATCATTAGCGACAAAGCATGTTAGATTCCAGTTATTTCAGTTTTCCTGTTCCCAGATAAGACTGCAGGCAAGCAGTGTTTGTTTTCAGCCAGGTACATGTCAGACAGAAACCAGTGGTCTCAGGTCTGTAAACCAAGCGAGAGCTGCTCTTTCCTTTCCACTGATAACACCTGCACTGTTCCTGCCTGTCCCACAGGAGAAGGTTGCACTGGTTTCATTCTGCTGTTGTTAGCAATGGGCCTCATAAGGTTAGCTGTAAAGAATGTGGTCTGTAGGGCCATCACAGGTCATGATGGGACCCTCTCACATAGGTTTATGCTTCTTCTTTGGACACTAGTACATTGAGGGGTGATGGGCAAAGCTTTTCTGCCTGATCAGTATAAAATGGATGCTGCTGTACTTCCTTGTGTGAGAGGATTTGGAGTCAGCCAGGCATCTCCCCAGTCCTGTCCCTCTTACCAGGACTGCTTTTTCTTCTGCCCAGCCTCCAAATCCCTGCCCTTCAGCTTCTCCCTTTTCTGCAAACCAGGAGCCTCCCACAGATGCTGTGCACTGCCCCAGCTCATGTGCACCACAGTCATGGTCCAAATACGAAGAACAATAATCTTGGCAAGCAGATTATCTAGTGCTTTTCCCTGAAACCCCAGCAGGCTCTACATACGCCTCTTGCAGACGGTACAGCATGAGTGTATTGTGTAGGCAAAACCATTGTATGAACCAAGGTACTTGAGGTGCCCTTTCCTATTTGCAAGGCTGGCAGCAGAACTGAGAGCCCCTCAGGAGAGATTCTGAGCACATTTTCAACCTTCTCTGATGAGGCATCAGACCTTTCCAGGGCACTGATTTTATATTTTACCAGGATTGTTCCCAGGGTTTGAATTACACTTCGACTCTTGGGGGTGTCTGCAAAAAAAAAATTGGGATGCCCATCACAATGCCCTAGTAAAATTGGAGACCTGCCAGGTTATGATTTTCAGATCTTAGGGGAGGGAAGCTCTCATCTCTTATGGGGGGCTCAGCCCCCCTGAGCTCCCCCATAATCCGAGCCCTGATTGTTCCCTCATTGAACCAGGTTGGAACCTGGTTCAGTCTTACATGGCACTCTCCTGCTGCTACAGTCCTGAAGGACGTCAGTGCCCTTTGTTCCCCAGCTGTCTCCAGCAACAGACCCGGGCACCAGAGAACTGCAGAACCTGCAGAATTTCACAGGATGGTTGTGGCTGTAAGTGTTACCTCCAACCTGCTCTGTCTGCTCCATGACCCAAAAGCCTGTCTTAACTGAGCAAACACTTCACTCTTGTCAACAGAGCTGGATATACAAAGACTGCTGGTATTCAGAGCCCCTTGGTACAAACGCACTGTTGATGTAACTCCTTGAATGCCAGTGGAGTTACAGCAACAACTGATTGCCTCACTGTTTTCCTGCTCCAAATACTAAAGATAAGGGACTTTGTCCTTGTACTTTGCCTTCACACTTTT